GCAGTTTCACCACCACACCCTCAACCTTCCGCTAATAATGAGCCAAAGTATTTCATTATGTTGTAGTAACGGTTTTATTTAATTAACTGGTAGAGTTTCGTTTAAAATGGACACTAACAAGCCAAAGTCCAATGATCATGAGCTGATTAGATTAGGTGAGCAAATGGACAGATGGTGTTCTGATTTGAAAAGGAACGTATTAGTACGTGAGCTTCAGGTAGTTATATTCTTATTATCAAGTACCTTTCTGTAGGCTGAATTTGAACAAGCTCAGATAAGATCAAGAGAAGAACAAAAAGCAGCTACTCTTCAAGAAATTAATGAGTAGATAGCAATATTAATTTATAGTTAATTAGCTGTTGTTTATTCTAGTTTAGTGTCTCAGAATCGGCTGCTTCAGTCACAAATCAATAGAATTAATGGACTTTTGACAACTTACCAGTTGTCAATTAACAAAAAAGATGAAATCATCCAGCGGTTAACTAAATCTCTGCAGAAACAAGTAACATTGATACATTTACTGATTAATTAATAAGTTAGTTCTTGTTTTATTGTAGAAAGACCGAATTGGTTTAGCTAGATCATTTTCAATGTGGAGGGGGCAGCACAATGATGAAAAAAGAGAAGTTTGCTATCACTTAATTTCATCATCATCATCATTTTTATTATAGATATTTACTAGTACTTTGGCTGTAAAGCATTATAATTATAAACTAAAGAGAAAAGCATTGCAGAAATGGTTTGGAATTATACAAAATAAATGGAGAGAGAGAGTACAGAGAGCTTGTCAAGTAAGAGCAGAGGAAGTATGCCAGAAACTTAAAGCAAGTCACACCAAAGAAATAAAGACAGTAACTGAAGGAAAGGGAAGACACAAGAATGACTTACTCCATTTTGTTTTTAGTTTGAGAAGTTGTTGGAGGAGAGAGAGGAGGAACTGAGCAGACTTTATAAAGAAAGAGATTCATTCGAAGAAAATTTGAAGAAAGCTTTCATGAGAGGAGTATGTGCTTTGAACAAGGAGGCAATGACTATGTTTAATAAAGAACAACTGGGAGATTGTGGTTACCATGGCAACCAGACAGTTCCTCCTCCTCCTCCTCCTGTTAAAGAAGGAGGAAAGTCAAGAGAACCAAAAGTTATGATTGAGAAGCACTTGCACTAAAATATCACTTACTAGTATATAAACTACTATTATCATTATATTAAAATTAATTAATCTACGAGGTGTGGTTTTTAATAATCAATATAGCTCCTCCTAGCAGGCCAGGTGCCCAGTACTTTTAAGTGTACTTGGTGTAGGGAGGCTAGAAATGAAGATATTCAAACCTAACTGGGTTAAACATGATAAAGGACAGCCAATATTCTCCATTGATATACACCCTGATGGCACGAGGTGATACAATCAATTATGATTTCATCTTACACTCAAAATTAACAGGTTTGCTACTGGAGGCCAGGCTGATGACGGCAGTGGTAAGATCATTATTTGGAACATGGCCCCAGTGAGGGAAGAGCCCATCAGTGATGTACCTAAACTGTTGGTGGAACTAACGAATCACTCCGGTTGTGTTAATGTCACACGATGGTCACGTGATGGACACTACCTCGCCAGTGGTAGTGATGATAGTATTATTATAATATGGAGCCTTCGCTATAAAACTGACGGGAAACTGGGATTAGAAAACCCTGTGTACGAACAGTGGGGGTGTGGCCACGTACTGAGAGGTCATAATGGTGACGTGCTGGATCTGTCCTGGTCACATGACAGGAAGTACCTGGCGTCAGCTAGTATCGACAACACTATTATCATATGGAACACACTAAAGTTTCCAGAGAAAGTAGCCATCATTGAATCGCACACTGGACTTGTTAAAGGTACTGTACAGTATATCATTATTATTATTATTGTTATTATTATTGTTATTATTATTGTTAGGTGTTTCTTGGGATCCTGTTGGTAAATATCTTGCTTCACAATCTGATGACAAGTCCCTTCGCGTTTGGAGGACCTCTGACTGGAAAGAGGAAGTCAAAATATCAGAACCATTTCATAATTGTGGAGGAACAACCCACGTACTCCGATTGAGCTGGTCACCCGACGGTCGGTTCATAGTCTCTGCCCACTCTCTTAACAATGATGGACCGAGTTCTCGTATTATCGACCGAACCACTTGGAACACCGAAATGGACTTTGTAGGTCACCGGAAGGCAATAGAAGTGGTTCAGTTTAATCCTCACCTTTTCGAGAGAGAAAAGGGAGGGGATAGTCACGGCTGCCTGGCTATCGGGAGCAGGGATAGATCCTTATCAGTTTGGCTGACCAGTTATAAACGACCATTAGTTGTTGTACACGATCTTTTTAATAATTCAATAATGGACATCTCTTGGAGTAAGGACGGATATCAGTTAATGACTGCTTCTCTTGATGGATCTGTAGCTTTCATTTCATTCACTTCAGAAGAACTGGGTCTCTCTCTTAACGAGTACAGGTTTGATGAGCTCTTCATGAGTTTGTACGGCCAGAAAAGAGTCCAAAGTAGAGGGACTCACCTCATTATAGAGAACCCTTCCCTACTCACTGCTAACCCAGGCATCCTTGAGGGAAAGTTTGGACCGAAAAGTAACACCACACCTGGTAAAACCCCTCCCGCCATAGCCAAGACCACGCCTCCTACCGCTAGTGGTTCTGTTCCTACGTTACAGCGACAGGTTGAGTCCCGTACTCCTGACGGAAGGAGGCGTATCACTCCAGTACTCCTCAACACTGTACCTCAGTCTGGACTCTCCGATAGTCCTTTCTCTAATTCTATGATAATGGCCACACCTCCAAAAACCACACCTACTAAGAGGCCACACCCAGATGAAGAGTGTACAGCTAGTCCTACTCCAATCAGTTTTGCTCCTTTATCTCCAGTGAACGAGCCTCCAGCTGTTACTAAACAGTCTCTACCTAAGCAGGAGGCAGTTGAGGTCACTGGGTCTGGTAAAGGGAAACGTGTCAAGAAAGTTAAAATAACTAATGAGGAATCGTTAGCCAAGCACTCTAAGCCATGTCTGCAAAAGCCACATCCACCAATTAATAATTATTTAGACTGTCCATCCCTCCTTCCCTCTCTATCCCTTCAAGTGGGTGGAGTTTCTCTGGAAGCGACCAATGGCAGTGGAGGGAGTACATTATCTTGTAAAGGAGGGGACCTGGCCTGGTCCCTTCTCCTTCATTCTCCTGTCCTCTTGCTCGGAGCTAGTTTGGCAGTTACAGCTGTTTGTGGTAACGATAGGACAATGGTACTGGTTTCCACGGCAACAGGACGTGTATTGGTCTCTCGTATTTTATTAATAAATGATCCATTTCAATTGAAAGTTAGTTCACACTATGTTGCCATAGCAACCGTTAATGCAACCCTATCAGTCTTTGATGTGACTGGCACTCGGTCACTGGTCTCTGGTGCCTCGTTCCATCACCTACTGACAGCCGCTGGAGGAGCAACTGGTGGGATCAACATTGAAATAACGGACACTGGTGTACCGGTTGTCATGACAACCAACCAATCATATGGATACCATTACCTTATGGAGTGTTGGGTTGAACTGACTCACCAAAAAGAAGCTGCTCAAATGAATCCATCAGCCAGTGGAACTGATATATCAACACACCCACTGCAGTACATACAATCAGTGAGTGGTACAAGGACCAGTAGTACTACAGTAACCTCTACTGAGGAGTGTCTTTCTTTCTTAGAGTCTCAGCTGTTTAGAAGTTCTTGTCTTCAATCATCAGTCGAATACGAGTCCTTGTTAAAGAGATATGTCACTTATCTGGTGAACCAGTCGCTCAGTGAAAGGTTGAGAGAAGTGTTCATGATGTTAGTATCTTGTTGTAATCACACTGGACAGGGTCTAGTACCAGCATCAGTGGTAACTGGACCCACTCTTAATCAACTGCTATCAATAATAGCTACCAACACTAACCTACAAAGACTATATGCAGAACTTAAACTTGTTTTTGATAGTATCAATTAATTTTAACGATACTTTTAAATGTCAATTTAATTAATAGATGAAGCTATTTTCACGTCAGCATCCAATTACATGCCATGCTTTCCAATTAATGACACCAACTTGAAGAATTGACGTCATAATCAACTCAAACTTTCTACACAGCATAAGGACATCAATATGTATCAGAAAATGTAGTGAAAATTGTGAGTTCCTTCCTTTTCAATTCTGGTAAAATTTGGCCAATATCCCTGTACTTATACATGTACAGGGACTTTGGTGTAAGACCTGTTACCATCACTCATTATGCACTACAGCCACACCTCTTCATTAGCAGCAGCCCTAGGGGTGTGACTGATGTTTTTGGCGCCGGAGGTGTGGCCATAGCTTGCCGCGCGCGCGCAAGCGCATGGGGTGTGGTTATAACTCAGGAGCATGCAAAGACACTAGGACAATGGTAGAGGTTGAGTTACAATTGAGAGGTACGTTTAGCCGCGGAGAAAGACTAACATTGGAGGAGTATATCATAATGTGATGAAGTACATAATGACAGAGGACTGAGCGGCCTAGAGTTAGTCTCGCTGGGCCAGACCGTTCCCCAGTCTACAGTCATTGTGGGTAGTCAGGCGGGCCTGAGGGTCAGGCTCGGCCTGACTAGTATGGTACTGATTTCTTCGTACCTTTACTTCACTATGATACCTTTACTTTAGAATAGAGTGAGTGGACTGGTGTCTAATGACAAGTACTGATGGTTAATGGCTGGGACAGTTAATTTGAGAACGGACAGAGACCCTTCACGAGGGTGAGATCAACAAGACTCACACCGACCTTCAGTTATTAATAATGACATTATCATTTGTTGGTCGTTTATATCACAAACAATTGTTTATCATTAATGTTGTATTAATCTTAAAAGAACTAGGATAAATTTGTATAATTATCATAATTATAAATCATTAATTGAAGGCCACACCTCCTTTTAAAACCACTCCTACTCATACTGATTGTATCCGGGAGACCACTAGACCAGACCGTACTGATTCCACTGAACTTAACTACTTGACTCTGTGGACTGGGCCCCCCCCTCTCTCTCTCTCTCTCTCTCTCCTTCTGTCAGTTATTGTCCTGTTACAAGGTCCACCAGTAAAGGTATACTACTGATGATGGTAGACAGAGGCAGTTCGTGTGTACATATAATGAAACTAGCTAATGTACTTCCCAGTGTATCTGTATCTATGTATCCTTACTAGTGTGTGTTAGTTAGTATATGCCAGCCTGCCTAGACTACAGTCCCTTGTGTGTGTATGTGTGTTAATATCAGTACTAATTACATTCCTTTTACCTAGTTTCAATTAAAGGTGTAGGTGTGTTTGTCCCACTTGTTGACATTTACTTGGATTATAAATTATTGTTTTTATTGGATCAACAATAATCCATCAATTATGAAAGTTATTTTTATTTCACAGTATATACTCACTCCCCCTGTCGCCATGGCAGCGGTTACTCTTGATCGTCAAGAGGGCCAGTTGGAGGGATGGCTCACGGTGTATAAGAGTAGGAATCCATTCATGTTCTCCAAGCAAAAGGTGAGACGCCATCTTGTGGTATGTAACAATGTGCTAACAGGGTTTGGTGTGGTTTCTTTCTTGTCTTTGAAATATTCTCTTCATTTAAGGACCTGTTGACTCAAGTGTTGACTAATCTTGAATTCATTGTTATTGTATACTGTACATGTACAGTATATCATTTGTGATTTCTCTCTCTCTCTCTCTAGCCTGATAAGGTTCTGGAGAGGGCCTGGTGTGTCTTCCATTCAAAGACTTCTAAAGGTCCTACTATTAGTTTCTTTCAAGATAATCGTAAGGAGGTTCGGGTTCTTAAAAGAGACAAAGTTGATCTTCTCAGTGTCAGAGAAATCACAAAGATATTTGGACACCCGAAACATGCCAACTGCTTCACTTTAAAGAACAAAGGGAAGAGGAACAGGTTCCTGTTTGACTGTGACAGCAAGTCAGTTCATGTTCTGTATATCTCAGTATATTTCTGTATATCCTTGCATACCTCAGTATATTTAATTAACTCTCTCCTCCCAGTATTGATCTTAATAACTGGTTGCGTACACTCAGTGATGCGTTGAGATTAGAGTTCAGATTAGAAAAGGTTATTATTATTATTATTTGTAATAATTCAGCGTCAGATTGACCCCGCCTTTTTTATCAGGTGATATGGGAGTTCCTGGACGAGACTGGTCTCTGGCAGGCTTTATCAGACAGAGAGTCTTATGATATTGAGGCCCATTACTGTGACCAGCACAACCAGTTCCTCCTGGGGGACAGGGAGGACAAGAGAGTCCATTATAATTTAGGACAGATGCAGCGACTTCCTCCTAAACTGAAGCACACTCAACGACTGAAGAGGAGTCCTTTTATATGGGAACGACCTGAAGGTCTGGCTGGTTGTTGTTGTTGTTGTTTATTGTTGTTGTTTATTTATTTATAGTACTTCATCAGAAAATGAATGATTTACCAGTAAGTTATTTATAATAATCATTGGTAGATCTATATATTAGTTTGGAGACCAGTCCCACTAAAAGTGGGACAGTTAAGGACACCATAGCCAGAGTCTCCTAACGGTGATCTATTGTTATTGTTTCTTGCTCCATTACAGGCAATATGGGAATGGGGTGATCCTTCTAATGACGAATGGCATCCATTTGAACGAGACACCAACATTCAGATTGAGGATATGTATGATTCCGGTTCTCAGTGGGCGGAGCTTATCCTGTGCATGCCGTCTCCAATGCTGTTGCTACTGAACCTTCAAGACATGAAACTGGTCAACTCCAAGACTCAAGTTAGGTACAGTTTGAGGAGGTTTGACAACACTGCTAACATGAAGCAAGGTAACTTATTGTTTGTTATATTGCTGTTGTTGTTTATTGTCGTTTGTTTGTTTGTTAGCTCCGTCAATCTATGGTACTGATGGAGTTGATCCTAGGAGCCCATCACCTGATGATGACGATAAAGGATTCGAAGTAATTAATAATTTATTTATTTGTTTATTTATTTGTTTATTGAATTAGAATGTGATATCACCTGTCAGTCCTCTATTCCAGCCGCTACAAAATTTCTTACAACATTTACAAGTTCCTCGCAAAAACATAAACACGAGAGAACTGCTGGGAGAAGGAGCTTTTGGTGAAGTGTATCTTGCTGATGCTACTGGACTACCAGGGACCCAAGGGACTGTGGAAGTGGCTGTGAAACAATTAAAATGTGAGTGGGTGTGGCTGCTACGTATTATTATTATTATTTTGTAGTAAGTGATTTCATAGCGAGACATGGCCAACACAGTCAACAGATGGAGGACTTTCTGAGAGAAGCCAAAGAAATGGCCAAAGTGGATCATCACAGAGTAGTCAAACTAATAGCTGTTTGTACCCTGTGAGTCCATTGTTGTTGTTTATTGTTTATTGTTGTTGTTTGTAGTGATTTCCCCTTGTTACTAATTGAGGAGTACATGAACCAAGGTGACCTGCTGGCAGTGTTAAAGGAAGGTAGACCCAGTATGCCACTGGTACAGCAACTCTCCTTCTCATGGCAGGTAGCTGATGGAATGAACTATCTTGCCACTGACCTGTAAGGGAATCCATTTATACTCACATTGCATGTACTGTCCTATCCATGTATAATGCAATTACCTGTCTAATTACTCAATGTGTCTTTTACTGTAGCCAATGTGTCCATCGTGATTTAGCTGCTCGTAATGTCATGGTGCACAAAACTGAATCTGGAGAAATGTTAGCTAAAATAGCTGACTTTGGACTCTCTAGGTGACAACAATTATTATTATTATTATTAATATTATTATTATTAGTAATATTATTATTATTAATTATTGCTTTCATTTTAGACACTTGTATTCTGAAATGTACAAGCACCAAGGCAACAAGCCCCGCCCACTACCTGCTAAATGGATGGCGTTGGAATCATTAATGTACTTCATATTTACAACCAAGTCTGACGTTTGGTAAGAATGTACCACTGATACTGTTAGCACTCTCACCATTCTCTGTACCTCATTGTACAATCTAAACTGTCAATAGAACAGTGTACTATGAATACAATGGACACTATACTTTTATAGATACTACTGCAGTTGTTGTAATGACCATTACTCTATAGTATATCAATTGTTGTTGTTATTGTTGTTGTTGTTGTTGTTAGGAGTTTTGGTGTGATGTTATGGGAGATAATGACACTGGGCCGTACCCCATACCCAGGAGTGGAGAACAGGGAACTGCTGGAGCAGATTGAGGAACACGGACTGAAGCTCAATAAGCCAAAGGGATGCCCTCAATCAATGTATGGTCATTATTAGTTATTTATTATTGGATTATTATTAATTAATTAATGATTAGTTATGATAGCATTTTGGACTGTACACAGCATGAGCCTGACGACAGACCAACTTTTGGAGAACTAAAATTTAAACTTGTAAGGATAACTTATTGATCATCAATTATTATTATTAATTAATTAATTATGAATAGTATAATTTGTATGAAGATGTGAAGGAGGGACGACTCCAAAGACCTTCTGATTCAGATGAAGAGACCACTCCAAAAACAGGAGCAAAGGAACTATCAAATAAACCAGAGGAGGAGGGAGAGAAAGCTGGAGAGAAGGAGGGAGAGGAGGAGGGAGAGGGAGGGAAAGCTGAAGAGAAGGAAGGAGGAGGAGAGAAGGAAGAGGAGGAACAAGAGAATACTCAAGTTCCTGGAGTTGGTGAGAGGAGCAGCTGCCCTAATGAAGAGGAGGTTCCAGCCTCATTGGACAGGATCAGTTTAGAAGAAATCAAGATTGAAGAAGATAAAGGAGACACTGAAAATGAACACGAACATGTCTACTATACGATTGAGAATGACACCAGTGTCATTGATACTAACACTGATGTTAACACTGATACTGATCTTAACGCTGACACTAACACTGATGCTACTGTTAAGACTGATGTTGATGCTAGCACTAATTCTGATAGCAAGACTGGTACTGATATTAACATTAACACTGACACTGACACTACTGATACAAACACTGATACTGATGCTAAACCTGATCCTAATGCTGATACTGACACTAACACGGAATCAAATACAGAAGTATTGCAGCCTCATAATGGAAATGTTAGTTGATTTGATATTATTACTTTTATTATAATAATAATAGTCCCTATAGCTTTGGTGTTCTCTTTTTTGAATGCAGAATTTATTAATTTCATTACTTTTTGTGTTATTTTTAACAGATTAATTTTTGTTTCATTGTATTAGAAATTAATAATACCAGAATGTAGTCAATTTGTGCTCTAATTATCCGAAAGTAGTATCATGCCGTTTATACTCTAATTAAAGGAATGTAAAAATAAAATCATTCATTAGTAAATAGTCACACCCTTCAATGGCTGAGTACTTTCTTCCCTTACTGTTCCTCCTCCTCTGCGTCCTTCCCCTCCTCTCCACTGCTGATGGTCCCCCTCTGGTCTGGGCCGTGAGACTAGCTCATTCTGATCACTCTAGAGTCGCTAAGGAGACGGGACTGGTCAGTTCAGGACATATCAATGAACTATTGGATGATGTGTACGAGTTTAAACTGGGACAAGAGGACCACGCCCACCTACTATCACACCTCAAGTCACGTGATCTAGTCATCGACCATGTCCATTCAAATGTATTGTCCCACCCTCACGTCCAGTGGGCGGAGCACCAGTACTCCATCACTAGAGACAAAAGAGACATTTACTTTAACGACCCACTCTTCCCCCATCAGTGGCACCTGGTAATTAATGAATTAATTAATGGAGACCTAATGAATAATTAATTAGGTGAATCATCAAGAGAATGGTCACGATATCAATGTGACTGAGGTCTGGCTGTCTAATATCACTGGAGTGGGTGTGACTGTAGCTGTTGTTGACGATGGTTTGTTGTTTGTTTGTTTGTTTGTTTATTTGTTGCACAATAGGTTTACAACATGGCAATCAGGAACTGAGTGATAATTATGTAAGTATAAAATGATATTATTAATTTATAATTTATTTATTACAGAATGCTAAAGGAAGTTATGATTTTAATGATTACGATTATGATCCTAACCCTGACACTTCCTCAGTATCCAATTCTCACGGAACACGTTGTGCTGGACTAGTAGCGTCAGTGGTGAGTAATTAATTGATAATTAATTAATTAATTAATTAATTAATACTCCTCCACAGGCTAATAACAGTATTTGTGGTGTTGGTGTGGCTTACAAAAGTTCAGTGAGTGGTATTAGGTTATTGGATGGAGTCATTACTGATCTGTTGGAAGCGAAGGCACTCACTTATAAGACCCACATCAATCACATATACTCGTGCTCCTGGGGCCCAACTGATGATGGGATGACAGTAGAGGCACCAGGGACTCTGGCACAACTGGCCTTCCAGTTAGGGACTCAGAGGGGTCGCTATGGTTACGGGAGTATATTTGTTTTTGCATCAGGTAATTACTGGATGGGAATTAATGTTGACTTACCTTTTAAGGAATATTGAATACAGTAGTTTTGTTACAGGTAATGGAGGGAACAAACAGGACAATTGTAATTTTGATGGATATGCTAACTCGATATACACAGTGACAATAGGAGCAGTGGATGAGTTGGATAAGAAACCTTATTACGCTGAAGAGTGCTCCTCCAAACTAGCAGTGACATACAGCAATGGAGTCAAGAGGGGGGACAGGAACATTGTCACTGCTGACATCACCAAAGGACACAGTTGCACCTCAGGATTCAGTGGAACTTCAGCAGCTGCTCCAATGGCAGCTGGACTTATAGCACTGGCACTGCAAGTTAGGTAATGGAATTGTTGTTTACTGTTTGTTGTTGTTTATTGTTGTTGTTTATTGTTGTTGTTTATTGTTGTTATACAGAGATTGTTTAACATGGCGTGATGTACAGGGTATTATTGTGTACAGTGCTGTACCAATAGACATCAGTGAAGGTGATTGGTTCACCAATGGAGCTGACTTCATGCACTCTCACCAGCACGGGTTCGGAGTACTGGACGCCTACAGACTTACAAGATCAGCTCAGGTAGACTAGCCATTAGCTCTCGTGTGATTGTCATGTGGTCGGTTAATAGGTGTGGCCTTTGTTACCAGCACAAGTGGTTTGGAAGTCAGATACATATTACACTAATAGTCCAATTCCTTATTCAATGGATCGTAAACTCCAGCAAAATATAACGTTATCACTTGATGACATGCCACCATCACTCCATACACTGGAGCATGTAGCAATCACTGTGAGTTACTGTCATACTCACCTCAACTAATTCTGATCAAATTTAAATTTTTTGAAAGTTGTTTATTATTTATCAGGTGACGATAGACCACACCTACAGAGGTGCTCTTATATTGGACCTGGTGAGTCCTTCAGGTACAGTATCTCATTTAGCTACTTCTAGAAAGAAGGACAGGTTTGTGTTAACATTATTAATGAATTTATTATTATTATTATTATTATTATTATTTATTATTATTATTATTATTATTATTATTATTATTATTATTATTATTATTAGCTCATCTAAAGGATTACGTGATTGGACATTCACCACAGTCCGTTGTTGGGGGGAGGGACCCCTGGGGGTGTGGTCATTACAGGTAGCTGATGACACTAGTATTGGTATCCCTCCAGACACTGAGGGTGAATCAAGAGGATACCTCTTACAATGGAGTATCAAACTGTATGGAACCAACCTCACTTCTTTGGATATAGTCAATAGAAAAATGTATTAAATAATAATTATTATTAAAATTATTATTATTGTGTCTTGTTGTCTAGATTAATTGATCAGGTTGTCAATGGTGATGATGATGTAATTCCTTCAACTTGTCCTCCTAAACCAACCAACCTACAGGACATTACCTTCCCTGATTCACCTATTGGGAACAAAGTAATAACTAATGATAACTATTAATAACTATTGATAATTATTATTTTCTAGTTATTAAAGGTTCTTTCTGCTCTAGCTGCTGTTATTGTCAGTATATTATTTCTTCATATTTTAATAACTTTTATCTATCGGAAAATGAGAGACAAAAAGAACAGTTATAGATCAGCACTACCTCCGGTCACTTTGCGTCACTTGAGTTCAACAGCCGAGGAAGAGGAGGGGCTTTTATTAGAATCACGAGATAATAATGAAAATGAGTGGAATGAAGAAATTGTTGAAGATAAGACTACTCTATAATTAATTAATTAATTAATTAATTAATTAATGTCTGTTTGTACATTTTTATTGACAAGAACTGCATGGCATTCATTAAATTCTCATTATGTATTATCATTTATTTAGTATTATTATTGTTATTATTATTATTGTTGTTGTTGTTGTTAGTTTCTTTGTTCTTGTTTACATTTTTGTTGATAGTTTAGGACAGCTTGGATGTTTGAATTCTCTTGGACCAATGTTACCATCAAATCTTTCCCTACAAGTGCACAGCAGTCAGTCATTGAGTCAGTTCATTCATTGTCTTACGATTCAACCTTCAGCCAGTCCAGTGATCGCTGTATCTGGGCTTCACTAATGTCTCCATCAACTTTTGCTAAAAATGAATACAAGTCTGAGAATAGTTCAAAACTGATTCTAGCGTCTCCTCCATCAGAATCAGTGGACATTATCTCACAGACTGTCTTTAATGCACAAGATATACTCTACAAAGACAGCCATTAACAATTAGCAAGTCCTCCTCAATGCTGCTTATGGTGTACCTTTTCCATTGTAGTACAGGCTAGTGCAAGTACATACCTCCAAATAACTTGTTCCTTTTCATTCATGTCCCCCATACTGCAGTACAGTAATAATGCACTCCATCCCATTCTATTGATAATAATAATATGCTATACCTGAGTATTTCACTGAGAGTGGTCTCTTTACAGCCAATGTTAGTCCACAGTTCCCTCAGTTTGCTCACATTCACAGTCTCGCCCTCCATTTGACTGTGGAGTGTAGCTAGCTTTCCTTTACTGACTCCTCCATTATTGGCTACTCCTATCCCCTCGTAACGAGCCTTCACTGGTGGAGCTACTCCCCGAGACAGTGCATCAAAGTATCTGAAAGAAATTCAAAAACTTCTTTTTTGTTTGTAAGTGATGAACATACGCTGCAGACCAGAGGAGAGGGTCCTCGGGTTGTGTTCTAATGGCAGCTTTAGTGAAGTCCTTGAGTATTCCAGGGAGAGAAGGAGGAATGATGATCTGTTCTGCTGTATAGAGGGGACCACCGTCCATTGTAATGATTGTATGTGTATTGATTGGTTGCTATGGAAACATGAGCCACACCCAATCTACTCTCCAGCTAGCAATGAATACTGAAGAAAGAGATCACAAAATTAAAGAATTAATTCAAAAATTAAAAGTAAAAGCTGACAGTCACAAAGGAAAAGGTTGGAATAAGTTTAGATATTATTTTTATTTTATTTACTTTTCAGAAGATGATGTAGATTACAGCTCATCATTAACTACATTGAATGAATTAATTATTTCAATTAATAATAAATCAGAACTGGTTGGGTTAGTCCCAGTTATACTAACTGGAGTTATACCTCATACCACCAGACACTACTGGACTAATGAGTCCTCTATACTGGCAGCTAAAAGTAATGAACAATGTAAATGTATAATTATTATTTTATTTCTAGATATATTAACTTATATATTAAAGAAATGTCACTGTAGTTCAATTCCTGACCTTTTGATTGGACGAAAAAACAAATCAGTACCTGGGGTGGGTGTGGTCTCACCATACACTCCAGCTCGGCCGACAGAGGAGGTGTTGCCATGGTTACAAGAAGAGGATGAGGTTCCCGTAGTAGAAGATGAGGAAGAATTGTTGATAGGAGGAGGAGTAATGAATGAACTGTTGAGAATATTAAGAAGAAGACTAGTTGAGACAGAATGGAAGGAGCATCCGAATGAGAAGCACACACTGATGTGGTGTCTGAGACATTTAAAGGTACAGTACACTGCTCCAGGTTAGGTATAGGCTATCTCTCTCTTCTCTGTAGCATCCTCATCTCAGTGAGTATTTTAATTCCTTCCTGCCATTATTATTATTATTGATTGATGATTATGAAGTAAGTATATTCAATTGTTGCAGAGCTATTGTTATTATTAATTGTTAGATTTATCATAAACAGTTAGGATTGACTGGTTTATGTCACCTCATCGCTAACACTGTAAGTGTCTCATTATCCTTTTAATCATAAGACCACTCCCCCATCCTCTTTCACAGGACTCAGCTGAGCTAGTACAGTATGGTAAAGCTGACCTTATTTATGACGTATGGCTGATCATCCTGTTTATCATTTGTTGATTAGTTTGTATAGAGTATTAAGAAATTGTTATATTTCAACAAAGTTGACATTATTAATGCATTACATCCAGCTCTTCAATCACTACTGGTAATAATGGAGGGACCTCAACCAATGGAGATATCTCAACCTAGAAAGGTATTAATAACATCACATGATGTGTGGACTATACAGTACAGTAGAGTCCATGATGTGTATATGTATTTGAATTGTATGTTGCATTGTTAATACAGTGGAGGAAGACTGATGAAGTGTTTGTAATATTACTACAATCAATGTACACTGAATCTAAACTATCAATTAGAAAAGTAACTAATTAACATCAATTTATTATTATTATTATTATTATTATTAATAATATCATAGGCTTATATTAAACATGTATGTAGATATATTGAATGTCTTGGTGTATTTATAATCAAGTATATTAATAAATTGTTATTAATTATATTTGATTATATTGAGTATCCTGATTATTGTGGAGAAGAAACTAGAAAAACCAGCTTGACGACACTACTAACATTAATGAGATACTCTTGGCCCAGGTTGATATCAATTCATTTATTATGTAGCATTGTGTGTGTGTGTGTAGGATTCCAAATCACTTCGAACCAATTTTAAAATCATTGATCAAGTTGATTTCTGATCTGTGTCCTGATAAATCAGTGATTCCAGATGATTCCAGTAACACATTATTAATTATTCATTATTATTGGGTTGCTATAGATACACAAGATGTATTAGGATTAATCATTGATTGCTTGAAAGTGTTGAACTGCTGCTGTCATGAAAATAGCGTATGTTTGTTGTTATTTGTTTATGTATTTATTTATTTCCCGTAGTCTGCCAGTTATAAAATGTTATTGAAAGACACAGAACATGCTGCTTTGAGACACTGTATTGCAGAAGCATTGGATACCGTATAGTTTCTAATTATGAGAAATAAGCTGATAATGTAATTAAAATTGAAATCAGTTAACTGCAAAGCAGCTGCTGGGAGGGTCTCTTTCTTCTATTCCTCACTGTCCTCCATTATGAGACTAAACCGCTTGCTTTTGATAGTCTTTGGGTCTTTATTAGTGTCCATTGCTGGAGCAGACAGTAAGTATTCCAGCCTACCAGGGCCAGTCTCATCATTATTCTTATTAGGATCAGATCCACTCCTCACTCGGCTGAGCTATTATGAGCCGTTGAGCTATTCTACTCATCACTTGAAGACTGGGCACCTTATGATAAAGAGGAGAAGTGTACCTGATGATAATAAACTACACTTTACAATCACTGCATACAACAGGTACATGTACATTAATGAACTTGTAAACATCTCCATACATTGTTGATGGTATGTTAAATATTGGTTGTTTTTCAATGGCTCATTGAGTATGTGGGGGTATTTGGTAGTGCTGCCTGTACTACAATGAATTATCACTTTGTTATTGATATTTGTGTATTTCTGTTTGCTAAATACGAGGCTAAATGTTGTCATTCATTTATTGGCAGCTATCATGGACTGGACTTCCTTTTATAATTATATTTTATCCTCTCCCCCCCCTCTCCCTCTCTCTCTCTCTCTCCCTCTCTTTCTCTCTCTCCCTCTCTCTCAGTACATTCAATCTTCTTCTCTGGCCCAGTTCTGATGTATTCTCTCCTAATGTTGAGTTTAATGTTCATCAGGAAAATGGCGACATAAAACCATCCAATTATGATCCAAGCACATTTTATAAAGGAATCATAAAAGGTATTAATGGATCACTGTTAGATCTAGAGGGAGTTTAGAAGCAACAATAATAAATGATGATGATGTGTGTCTGTTGGTTAGTGTAAGATGATATCATGTAGTGGCTGTCTGGACAGTGTCTAGTTCAAAGTCATTCTTATCAATAATTACTATTGACCCATTCTTTCCTTATACTATTAACCCATTCCTTCCTTTATACATGTACCTACAGTATGAATCCATTCATTCATTGATTAGGTCAGCCCCTCTCAAGTGTCCATGGTCATATTCATGATGGGGTCTTTGATGGTGAGGTAAGGACAGCCGCTGGTACTACCTATCACATTGAACACATCATGAAGTATCCTGGAGTCACTCAGCATGTACCAGCTGGTACTCACTCGCTGATCTATTCTGATGAACACATGATTGTACCTAAGTCAACCTGTGCTTTGAAGAAGGTCCTCTTTGATAAACTTCAGTCTATTCAAGCAACAGGAGAGCCAATACATAAGAAACCACGCCCACTAACTGACGATGAATATTATGAAAATGAACGAGTGAAGAGAAACTCAAAGAAGGTGAATACGGCGAGTGGAGGAAGGTTCTGTCAGATATTTGTGGCAGTGGATCATTTGTTCTTACAACATGTGGTGGGAGGCTCAGAAACAATGGCTATATCAGAAGTGACTACAATATTCTCAAGTTCTCAGAATATATTTCAAACTACAGACTTTGATTCAAATGGACAGTTTGATGGCATTACCCCTCAACTGGTCCGTACTGATATTCTCAATCGTGATTCTTACAATGGGAAGTTCAGGAGTGATAACATTGATGTTAATAGATACCTCAACCTTTGGTCCGAGATTGACCATTCTACCTACTGTCTGGCGCTATTAGTGACCTACCGGTAAGATATGTGTACCATTGTACCATTATACCATATTGTACCAATAACTGGTCCAATATACCGATACACCATTGTACCATTATACCATATTGTACCAATATACCATTGAACCATTATACCATATTGTACCAATATACCAATATACCATTGAACCATTATACCATATTGTACCAATATATCATATACCATTATACCATTGAACCATAGTGCCATTACCCATTGTTTGTTTCTAGTGATTTCAGTGATGGTGTATTAGGTTTGGCATGGGTAGCTCAGCCCCCCGGGGGTTCTTCAGGGGGTATTTGTGAGGGACGGGTCCGACTCTCAATTGGAGAGAGATCATTAAACACTGCCATAGCTTCTTACCTCAACTACGGTGCTAGGCAACCAAGGGGTGTGGTCACTATCACTGTGGCTCATGAGTTTGGACACAACTTTGGATCACCCGTAAATTAATTAATTTATTATTATTATTATTATTATTATTATTATTATTATTATTATTATTATTGTTGTTGTTATTATTATTATTATTATTATTAATAGCATGATCCAGAGTCCAGTCAGTGTTCTCCTGGTGGTTCAGGAGGTAATTACATCATGTATCCTAGAGCTACTGACGGGAGACAGGACAATAATGACCGATTCTCTCCTTGTTCAATAAACTCAATATACGCTGTACTGACCACCAAATCAACATGTTTCACTAGTAAGAACTGTTATTATTATTATTATTATTATTATTATTATTATTATTATTATTATTATTATTATTATTATTATTTAATATAATCACAACTAACAAGTTGGTACAAAACTCAGTATCAGTCCATAACCAACAGACTATGATACACAATTACATATTTAAATGTCTCCTCAGAATTCGTGCAGATCCCAATAATGCAGTCTTCTGTATATGCTCAACTTTGATGTTAATCCCCAGTCTCTTTAACCAGTCCTTGATCCTGTATGATACTGCCCCCAGTGCTCCAACTACAATCGGTATTACTTCTACCTTCTTCATTCCCCATAGCTTCACAATTTCCTGTCTCAATTCTTGATATTTCTCAACTTTTTCATCTTCCTTTCCTTCAACTCGAGTATCACCTGGAACTGCCACATCTATAATCATACACCTCTTCTCCCTTTTCATAACAACTACAATATCTGGCTTGCGATGTTCAACCATTCTGTCACACTGAATCATAAAGTCCCATAAAATC